TGTATTTTATTTTCTGATCTTTTTTGCCAATATGTAGGACAGAGCATTTATTTGTTGAGATTTGAAGTTGCCATTTGTTTGACCATTCTGACACATAGTCGAGGTCTTTTTGAAGGGTAGCAGTATTGTCTGTGGTGTTGAATAGCTTTACATCATCAGCGAAGAGAACGCAGCTGCTCTTAATATGATCACAGAGGTCATTTATGTAGAGTATGAAGAGAGTTGGTCCTAGAACACTGCCTTGGGGGACACCACTATTGACTGGTACAGAATTTGATAGAACACTCCCAATTTTGACCATTTGTTGTCTGTTTGACAGGAATGCTTCTATCCAGTTATGCAGGTGTCCAGAGATACCGTAAGATTTTAGTTTTAGGAGTAGTTTGTCGTGTACCACTGAATCAAAGACTTTACAGAAGTCTATGTAGATTGCGTCTATTGCTTTGCTGAGTTGTGCAAGTTGTGTAGTGAATATCGAGTGTGAAATCGACTTGTGTAGTCCATATGTTTTTGCAGTGTAAGAGTTGCAGATTACATGATAGTTTTTTTCTGAAACCAAATTGTTTATTGGAGAGTAGGTTGTTTGTCTCTAAGTGGAGGATGATGGATTGGTTAATAATTGATTCCATGACTTTACAGGTGACGCAGCATAAGGAGATTGGTCTGTAATTTTCAACTAGGCTGGGGTCTCCCTTTTTGAAGATGGGGATGACCGTGGCTTGTGACCATAGGTTAGGCAAGGAGCTGGTCCTGAAAGATTTTTCAAAGATTATGCTTAGAGGTTCGGCTATGGCAGTGGATAGCTTTTTAAAGAAGTAGGCACACATTCCGTCCGTTCCAATAGATGGGGATGGTTTTAGATTGCGCAGTGCTTTTTCAACATTGTCTTTTGTAAAATCGATATGTATGAGATCATTGTAGTTGTCTGTGGTTCGACTAGGAAATACTGGGCATGATCCATTGCTGTTTACAAATACTGAGCCAAAGAATGTGTTAAAGAGGTTGGCTTTAATAGTGTCGTCGTTGCAGTCTTTACCATTAGGTCCTTTCAGGGGTGGGATGGACCTTGAGTCTTTTAGTTTGTTGTTTACAAAATTGTAGAAAAGGCGGGTGGAATTGGTGCATAGAAGGTTTTCTTGTTTAATGTGATAATTGGTGCATTCAGTTTTTATCTGGTAGCATAGATTTTTGTATCGGCTTTTGAAGTTGGCAACGTGACCAAATTTATTTTTCCGCGAACGTACTTCAATCAATCAGAATAGAGCTTGAAGGGACCCTGGAGGTCTTTTAGTCCAACCTCCTTGACTCAAGCAGGAGACCCCATACCATTTCAGACAAGTGACTGTCCAGTTTCTTCTTAAAAGCCTCCAGTGATTGGGCACCTATAACTTCTGGAGGCAAGTTGTTCCACTGGTTAACTGTCCTGACTGTTAGGAAGTTTCTCCTTAATTCCGGGTTGCTTCTGTCCTTGGTTACAATTTCCATCTGTTGCTTCTTGTCCTGCCTTCAGGGGCTTTGGAGAATAGCTTGACTCCCCCTTCTTTGTGGCAGCCCCTCACATACTGGAAGACTGCTATCAAGTCACCCCTAGTCCTTTTCCCTAGACTAGAGATGCCCAATTCCTTCAACTGTTCTTCATATGTTTTTATTTCCAGCCCATCTTAGTTTCTCTTCTTTGTACTTTTTCAAAAACAATAAAAGCAATAATCCTCAAAATAGGAGAAAAATTGAATAGATCATTAAGTTGACAGTTAGCGACCATGTAAATAGATATTATAGATTCAGGATTTTATTTTAATTCATTATTTTATTCTATTTTATTATGCTGCTCATCCTTCCCTCCCTCCGTCCATATACAGGTAGTCCTCAACTTATGACCACAAGTGAACCCAAAGTTTCTGTTGCTAGGCGAGTCAATTGTTAAAAGTGTGTTTTGCCCCATTTTACAACTTTCCTTGCCACAGTTAAGTGAATCATTGCAGATGTTAAGTTAGAAACATGGTTGCTAAGTGAATCTGAGTTCCCCATTGACTTTGCTTGTGAGAAGGTCACAAAAGGTAGCTCTGGGACATTGCAACCATCATAAACACATTGGTAGTTGCCAAGTATCTGAATTTTGATTGTGGGACCATTGGTGATTCTGCAATGGTATTAAGTGTGAAAACAGTCATGTCATATTTTTCAGTGCTGTTGTAACTTCAACAAGTCACTAAACAAACGTGTAATTTGAGGACTTGTAAATATTCCAACCAATATTCAGTCTTGGTTAGTTTCTAGAAGCGGAGCAAACCTAAGCTGTAAATATTGGGATGGCCACTAGAGGGCAGAGAAAGGTTTGGATGTGTTTCTGCTGCCCTCTAGTGGCCAGCCAGGTAATTTCAAACAATGGCCAGTAGATCTATTTTCACTTGTGCCGCTCCAAAAACCTTATTTTGGGCAGAAAATTCACATGTACAGTATTATTGCATGGTCTGTAATCATTAAGTCACTAATCTGGAGGTGGCACGCATTTTTAAAAATATATATATAATTATATATATAAATATATATAATTAGAAAGTAAGTGCATCCATGACTAGAAGACTAAAATAAACAAACTCCATTTCCCAGAAGCCACCTCACCTACTCCAAGGCGCTCTCTCTCTCTCTCTCTCTCTGTCCACCGCTCGTTCCCACAAGCCTCTGTTTCCTTAACCCCTTTCTGGGAAACGGAATTTCCTTGCTAAGGAGGAAACCCAGCCGCGTCTAGGCAAAGCCCTCGCTTCTTGAAACTACCCTTCCCGAAAGCCCTCACGGCAACACTCTACCCAGCCTCCCTTTATCCTTCCCTCGCGCGCCCGCGCCACCTCCCTTTCCCTGCGCTTCTTGGGAAATGTAGTGACGAGCGGCCTGCCGGCTTCGAACGTGGGCCGGCGCGCGCGCGCGTCCAGACTACCAATCCCGGCGTGCCTTCGCCCGGCGGGAAGGCCCTCCATTTTGTTTTCGCCTCAAGAGGGCTCAAGATGGCGGCGGCGCCGGTAGTTGAGGCGGCGAACGGCCTGTCAGAGCGGAGGCCTTGGTAGTCGCGGCGTCACCGCTGTCATGGACCTGCGCCTGGCCGTGTACAACGCGGCTCGGGAGGGGAAGCTGAAGCTGCTGCAGAAGCTGCTGGGCGGCCGCGGCCGGGAGGAGCGTCAGCGTCTGGCGGCGGGCCCGGGCGGCGCGGAAGGCCCGCCGTTGCTGATCGCTTCCCGCCACGGTCACCGCGAGGTGGTGGAGTACCTGGTGGACCACTGCGGCGCGCGGGTGGGCACGGGCGGGTCGGTGCGCTTCGACGGGGAGACTATCGAAGGGGCTCCGCCGTTGTGGGCCGCCGCCGCCGCCGGGCACCTGCCGGTGGTGAGGAGCCTGCTGGAGCGCGGCGCCTGCGTCAACCAGACCACGCTGACCAACTCGACGCCGCTGCGGGCGGCCTGCTTCGACGGGCACCTGGCCGTGGTGCGCTACCTGGTGGGGGAGTGCGGGGCCGACCTCGAGGTGGCCAACAGGCACGGCCACACCTGCCTGATGATCGCCTGCTACAAGGGCCACACCGACATCGCCCGCTACCTGCTGGAGCGGGGTGCCGAGGTCAACCGCCGCAGCCTGAAGGGCAACACGGCCCTGCACGACTGTGCCGAGTCCGGCAGCCTGGAGATCCTTCGCCTGCTGTTGGCTGGCCAGGCACGGATGGAGCGGGATGGCTACGGCATGACCCCGCTGCTGGCCGCCAGCGTCACCGGGCACGCCAACATCGTGGAGTTCCTCATCCGGGGTGCGCTTGAAGTACCCCAAAGCCAGGACGCCGAGGAAGAGGAGAAGGAGGATCGGGAAGAAGAGGAGGAGGAGGACGATGAGACGGGTGGATCCCACGTCTACTGCACCCGAGAGGCCGCGGTGGAGGCGTTGGAGCTGCTGGGTGCCACCATGGTGGACAAGAAGCGCGACCTGCTAGGCGCCATGAAGCACTGGTGCCGGGCGATGGAGCTGCGTCTCCGAGGAGGCGAGGCCCTCTCTAAGGCGGAGCCTCGGCAGCGGGTGCTGGCTTATGACTATGCCCAAGAAGTGAGCAGCATGGAGGAGCTGGAATCGCTCATCACAGATCCGGATGAGATGAGGATGCAGGCTTTGTTGATCCGAGAGCGTATCCTGGGACCGTCTCACCCGGATACCTCGTATTATATCCGCTACCGGGGGGCCGTTTACGCCGATTCAGGCAACTTTGAGCGGTGCATTAACCTGTGGAAGTACGCCTTGGACATGCAGCAGGGCAACCTGGAGCCCTTGAGCCCCATGACGGCCAGCAGCTTCCTCTCCTTTGCCGAGCTCTTCTCGTACGTGCTGCAGGACCGCTCGAAGGGCGCCTTAGGGACTCAGCTGGGTTTCTCTGACCTCATGGTGGTTCTGAGCAAAGGGGTCCGCGAGGTCGAGAGGGCCCTCCAGCATCGGAAGGACCCGGTGGCCGACGCTTCCCCGTTCACCAAAGCCTTGGCCATCATCCTCCACTTGGTCTTTTTGCTGGAAAAAGTGGAGTGCGTTCCCGAGCAGGAGCACCAGAAGCGCCAAACCATCTACCGCTTGCTGAAGTGTCACCCGCGAGGCAAGAACGGCTTCACCCCATTGCACATGGCGGCGGACAAGGACACCACCACGGTGGGCCGCTACCCGGTGGGGAAATTCCCCTCACTCCACGTGGTGAACCTCCTGCTAGAGTGCGGGGCCGACCCGGACAGCCGGGATTATGACAACAACACCCCGCTGCACGTGGCTGCCCGGAACAATTGCCCCCTCATCATGACCGCCCTAATGGAGGCAGGAGCTCACATGGATGCCACCAACGCTTTCAAACAGACAGCCTACGAGCTCCTGGACGAGAAGCAGCTCACCAAGGCCATGATGCAGCCTTTTAATTATATCACCTTACAGTGCCTTGCGGCCCGAGCGCTGGATAAACACAAGATCCCTTATAAGGGTTTTATCCCTGAAGAGTTGGAAGCCTTCATTGAGCTGCATTAGCCAAGGAGGACTCTCTACTCCCTACCGGTCTCTTCCTAAACCCGCTGGGACTGGCCGGGAGGGGACTTGGATTCGCAGTCTTCCTGGGGTCTGGATTTGAAAAGCTTTGGTTTGCACTTGGCCAGGTTATGTGGTCTCCGTCTTGCTTCTGTCCAGCCCCTGACATGGAGAAGTCGTCTTTTGCCCAAACGCACGTGGCCTCACTATCTGGGATCTTCTTGGGTAGATGAACAGGCTCTACTGCAGTGTTGCTCAACTTTGGCCACGTTAAGATAGGTGGACTTCAACTCCCAGAATTCCCCAGCCAGCTATGCTGGCTGGGGAATTCTGGGGGTTGAAGTCCACTCTTCTTAAAGTGGCTAAGGTTGAGAGACTATGTTGCCCTTACTCCTCTATGGATCTGTCCCTAATCTGTTTTTGAAAGTCCCCTCATATTTTTTCTCTCCCTGGCCTTCCAAAGCCAAGGAGTTGAATTTAGCCCCCTTCTCACTTTACATTAATTGCCCCAACTGCCCCCCCAAAAATTGGCAAGATTCAGCTTTCTGGAACTTTTCTAGGGCCCCCAAGAAAACCTCCAGGGCTGACCCATTGCTCCAAAGTTCCTCCAGTCTTTTTTTCAGTTTTCCCCATTTTTTTGTGTGTGTTCCTGTGAGAAGCGGGGGAAATAAGGGGCTGGCGGATCTGATTGTGTGACCGGCTCAACGGTGGCCACGCGCGAGATAGATGAATGTTTTGCATGGCCTGCTTTCAGCTTGCATGTTGGTTGAGCTTTTTTAAGTTCTTCCATTTTGCACCCTTTTGGAAGACTTAAGGATGGACGGAGGCAAACCCACCAAGTCTTAACAATGTTCTTTTGTTCAGATCAGCCTTGGAACTTAAGGTGGGCGGGGGGGGGGGGGGTTTCTTCATTTTGAACAGTCTATTTGCTTCTCTGCATGGTTGACCCAAGCTGGGTGCAGTGAGGTTTGGTTTTTCCTTCCTTCCCCCCCAAAAAAGGATATCAGTTCTTGCTTGGACCATCTCTTAACACCGGCTGAGATTTTTGATGGCTGTTTTCAAAGCTGGTGGTAATAATTGTATCTTTATTTGGCTGCTGGTTTTTCTTGTCAGCAGAGCGAGCCCTGCACTGTAGGCAGACCAGGCGGTAAAAGGTTCCCCAGATTGTGAAATTTAATCAAGCCATTTATTTTTCCCGCTCCAGAAAAGAGAAAACGGGGTATGGGTTTTTGACCCAATCACTGGCAAAAAACGGTTCATTTACATCAGAGGTCTCCAAACTTGACCACTTTAAGACTGTTGGACTTAAACCCCCAGAATTCCTTAACCAGCCTGCTGACTAAGGAATTCTGGGAGTTGAAGTCCATAAGTCTTAAAGTGCCCAGTTTTTTAGACCCCTGATTTATGTCCTTTCAGCCAGGATAGCCCCATTTTTCTGGAAGAGCTTAGGGAACCGGAGGCGATTGGGCAATATTGTCCAAAATTATCTCTTTGCGGCCTCTGTAAAGGTTAAGGAGCAAATGCTTTTTAAAATCTCCCAGAAACCAAAGAAAACCTATATACTGAAAACTTTTTGCACTGTGGGCCTGTCTAGGTATACTTCCCATTAAAAATCATGCCTAGTAACCCACCAAATCGAGCGGAGGCGAGTGAAATGCTTACACTGTGGCACCCCAGTTTCTTCACATGTCCTCGCCTTCCTTAACTCTTCAGGGCAGGTGGGCATCAAATACCAGAGATTTTATTCACATCTGCAAAAAGTGGGTTGTAACTTGAATTCTTAGTATTAGTCACTTCAATCCCCCCCCCTTTGGCTTGGTTATCAATGATATTTTTTTTAATTATGTAAAGGGCAGAAATGGATGTTGAAGGGTAGAATGAATACCTCACACACACACACACAGCCTTACTCAGCCATGCTGAGTTGATTCTCGTTGGTGTGTCCTGTAAATTCTGTTCTATGCAGACGGTGCAGGTGGGATTGAGGCTGCATCAGGCAAGAGAAAAATGGTGGCAAGATGGGTGTGTGGATGGACGGATAAAAATGACTTGAAGGGATTGGGGGACGGGTGTTTGCGTTTGAATCTTGAAGGACCTTTCTTAGGTCTTTTCTCTCAGGGTCTACCTCACTCGCCAACAGTGTTAATGGATGATGTTTGGAGCGGTTGTAAGTAAGGTGGCCATGGCTGTTGATAGTTGGATCACCTTAACTTCATAGCAGTGGGACAGGTGAAGGTCAGAGTAGGCTGAAGTAAAGGAGGCCCAGTAGAGTGCTGTCATCATCCTTGGTGCTTGCTCGTGTCCAGATAGACCTTTTTTTTTCCAGATCAAAGAAACCCATCCTGCGAATCTGGGGCTGTTTAGAAGCCCCCAGGAACTTTTAAGCGGGGTGGACTTCCGCATGGCTGGCTGAGGAATTCTGGGAGTTAGTCCACCCTTCTTAAAAGTTCCTGGACTTAAGGAAACACTGCTTCAGAGGTCTTCCTTCAAAAAGACTTGGTTAAATGGCCTACCAGCCTCACAAAAGAGAGAAATAAAAAATCGATCAGACCAAAAAGTTTCAGAATGTAGATCATCATTCTCTCTGGGGTGAACCTCCGTTGGAGGCATCATCTCAATCGGATGATCTCCATAAATTAAGAGATCGGTATTCTCTTTGAATCCATCTCTAAATGTTGTTCTGCTTTGAAGCAGAAGGGGGAGGGTGGAAACAGTACCAGCTGATAACTGAGGATGCCAAAAGATGTTGCTTTGTTTTTCTCATAGACGTCAAAGGAGCAAACGCCTCCCTAAAGGCTCTGGATTCCTGGTTTGGGCAGGGTGGAGCAGCAAATGGCCTATATTTGGTGTTTGGATGTGGATGTGTTTGGAAGCTAGGAGGTGATTTTGGAGAATCATTTCTGCATCTTCACACAGCGCAGGGATAAGAAGAAGCAGAGGTCTTAAATTGCCTTGCATAGTTTTTCAACCTCTGCAGCTTTAAGATGCTTGGACTTCAACTCCCAGAATTTCCCAGCCAGCACAGCAGTGCTGGCTGGGGAATTCTGGGAGTTGAAGTCCAATCATAAAGCTGTAGAGGTTGAGAAATTGCTGGTTTAGGGGCTCAAGAGAACTACAGAAACCTCAGGGTATTTTTTTTTTCCCTCCGTGGATTTTGCAGCTTTGCATTTTTGCAGTGTTAAAAGCAAACAACGGGATATTAGCAGGTAAAGCAAAAGAAGTTTCAGGTTACCATTTTCTTTTCTTTTCTTTTTTGGTTTTGTTGCAAAGAATGGGGTTGATTTGGCAATTGTGGCAGAGAAAAAAATGCACAGGCAGTGTATGCTCCCCTTGAGAGCCAACTTTCCTAACTTGAAGTAAATAAAGCTATACGGACAGTGAAAATCAAGAAGAAAATGTCATGCTGCTAAAAAAAATACACAATTGTGTCTCTGACTCTTCTTGGTAGTTTTCATATGGTTGTGTGGCTAGAAGTGTTTGTTTTAATACACAGGTAGTCCTCAATTTATGATTGTTTTGAGTTTGAAACTATGGTCGTAAGTCATGTTGGTTGTCCAGTGGGTCACTGCATGATGTCACCTGATTTCCCAGCCTCTTTTGTGTGGGTTGTTAAAGGAATGCAACAGTCATAAAGCAAACAGGGCAGTCGTTAAGCAAATCCATTATTCACAGTGGCCGTTTTAGCTGGAGCCAATGGTTTTCACCCCAAAATTTCGCAAATTGTAGTTGTGTGACTGCCAGCTAGTTCCCAAACACCCAAAAGGTGATCGTCTGATTATGGGAGGGGCCATTGGAATTTCAAATCTGGGTTGTAACTACCAGCAGTCATAAGCCGAGGACTACCTATATATATGGGTGAAGATACCTGCGTTTCTTCAAAGTTTGGCATTTATGAAAAAAAATGAGTTAAAAATGGAAGAACCTTGTAGTAGGATCAAATTCTATGGACTACCTCATGTAATCCATTGATGAGGTTTACCTAGTTTGGTCATGAAAACAACCTGCAAGAAAAGAGCGAGTCCCTCGTTCCTGGTATTATTTACTACTGTTAAAAGTTTTAGACCAGCGGCGTCCAACCTTGGCAACTTTTAAGACTTGTGGACTTCAACTCCCAGCATTCCCCAGCCAGGAGCTAATCTTTAGATGTTACACTGAATGTAAGATATCTAGTAGATGTAGTCATCTGCCGGCGGTGGCAGAAGAGGCAAGGTGGCCGCTGTGGCCTTGTAGTCTAAGCCCCACATTTTTATACATGCCTGAAGACCCAATTCGGAAGACATTAAGAAGCGAGGAAAGACAACCCACACTCAAAGTCTCTACCCAGCCCCAGAGCTCTTTTCCAAAGAAGGACTCCTATTTCCTTGCAGTGCCCAAAGAAATAATTAATTCCCTAATTTTTGGTGATAAATAAATACACAACTTTGCCCCTGAGTAGATGTATTTAAGGAAAAAGTACTGGATGATCTCATTTTCCAGAAACTGGATCTGTCCTTTCTTCTTTACATCCTTAGATCTGATGAAATGCAGCAAGGAGGGAGGAATTGTGGAGGGAGGAATTCTCTATCCATCTCTATCCTCTTTTCTCCCTCTCTCCTTCTCTCTTTCTCCATCTTCTATCTGTCAGTCTCTCCTCCCTCTCTCTCCCCACCTGAGCAACTTTTAAGATGTGTGGATTTCAACTTCCAGAATTCCCCAGCCAGCCAATGCTGGCTGGGGAATTCTGGGAGTTGAAGTCCACATATCTTCACTATCCTGATTGTTAGGAACCAGCATTGCCTGGAATTTTAAAAAGCTCTCCCATTTCTATGCCCTGTCTTAACACCATGGCTTAAACCTGGTTATATAGAGTAAGCCATGATTCCGTTCAGACACCAAGCCGTAAATAAAATGACAGTGACTTTTTGCCTCTTAAAACAAAATCAAACCAGGCTCCTTATAAATTCCATTTGCAACACGAACAAAGTCCTTTTCAAAAGCCCACATATATTGCATAGATGTCGCACAGCATAAAGCAATTTGTACACATCCCAGAATTTTCAACCAACTTAAAAGAAGTTGGTGCCCTCTTTATCTCTCTCCTTTGAGATTCATCCTTTTGAAGTCTTGGCTGGGCCACAAAACGGCTCCCCTCCCCCCTCCCTCCACTTTTCTAAAAAGCATTGAAGGATCCCAAAACTCGTGTCTGCCACATTGCAAAAATAAAATGGATATGGGTTGTCTTTGACAGGACCACAACTGAGCTCAACATTAAGACAGTTGTTCAGTGAGTTTTCCCCCATTTTACGACCTCGCTTGTTACAATTATGTGAATCACTTCAATTATTAAGTTAGCAAACATGGTTGTTAATTGAATCTGGCTTCTCCGTTGGCTTTGCTTCTTCAGAAGGTCGCAAATGGGGATCACACAACCCTGGGAACACAACAACCATCATTAATAGGAGCCAGTGACCAAGCATCCAAGCGTCTGAATTTAGATCACACAACCACGGGCATACCGCAACGGTCATAAGTGTGAAAAATGGTCCCTTTTTCCATTGTAACTTTGTCACTAAAGAATAGTTGTAAGTCGAGCACTACCCGTAATGCATTTTGTCCTTTATGAGGCCCTGTTGGGGGATTGCAAAGAGGAGATGGTCACCCATTAAGCTCCAGGTCTTCCTGTCCTGCTCCATTCAAGGTCCCAGTACTTGCTGGTCCCTACAACTTTGCGAGTCAAAGTGCCCCCTTCCCTTGACAATCATTTCTGATTAGGAAATATTAAGACATTTTTCTGCTGTCCCCTTTCATCCATCTCGTTTCCATTCTCCAGGGTTGTCCTCCATCTCCACTCCCGGCGGCCTCTCAACAGTCTCATTGGCCGTGCCAACCGCCGCGTTGCTTCTTTCCACCTGCATGCGGTTATAATCACCGATCTGAATCATCTGGGCATTCTGAATGATGAGTTGGGGACCCAGCATTGCGTTTGGAGAACCCACCGAGGACAGGAATGGTTGGGAAAAGGAAGACTGATCAAGCCCCAGTTTCATGAAGGACGCTGCAGGAGGAGGAAACCCTTGAGTCTCATCACCCGCCTGGGCTTGCATCCTTGACATGTCCACTACCGGTGGTCGAAATGATGACTGAAGGTTGAGGAGAGTGAGTTGTTGTTGTAGCCTCAAGTTTTCTCGTTCCCGTTCTCTCTCCTCCTCTCTTTCCTGGATCTGTCTCAGGAGGTCCCAGGTGGCTTTCTTCTCCCGGATCGCCTTTGGAGTGAAGGTCTTCTTCACCCTCTTGTCAAACACGGGAGACGTTTCACACAAGGGCACCAACGAAGCGAGCAAGAGGGGCATTTCCCCAGACTTTAGAGAGTGTTCCCTGGGCACAAATGGAATCACCGAGTGCCTCTTGCAGCAGCGGGTGAGGGAGTCCATCAAGGCCGTGTCCCGTTGATAGTCACAAAGGCGGCCCGTGAAGTTCTTGGTCAGGAGCACGAGCGTGAAGGCTGAGTTGTCCAGGGAGTTCTGGAAACAGTTGAGTTGGCCACACCCAGGGGTGAGGAAATCCTCGCTGAAGGTGGCCCCGTTGGATACCCCCAAGGCCTCCAAGCGTTCCTTCACCCGGAAAGCCACCAGCTCGTCTTCTGCAGCATGCAGGACCACGAAGGTGTAGAACTGCTTTTCATCGTCTGGTGGGCCCATCGACGAAGAAGGTTCCGAGCTACCAGAGGCAAGATCCGAAGTAGAAGACAAAGAAGACACTAGAAGTCCAAAACTCGTGCTTGGCGCTGGAGCAGAGGAACGGGGCGGAGCCCTTCCTGCAGAAGGTGCTGCTAAACCTGGCTTCTGCAAAGGCGGGGCCTGAAACAGGCACATCAAATCTCCTGATGGCGCTGTTTTTGGGGTTGTTGGGCCCTGGGCAGATGGCGTGGGAGACAGTGTGATTTTGGAGTCAGGCAGTAAACAGGGACCTCTGAAATTTGGCAGGGAAGATTTTCTTGAATTGGTGGAGCAGCCATTGACCAATGCCATGTCTTCTCCTTGGCCGGTTGGTGGTAGAGGCAAGGAACCTCCTGTACTGGAAGGGCTGTCGGAGATTGTTATTGAACTCTCACTGATCTTAAGGTTGCTGATGTAGGAGATGGGGGTACCTGTAGAACGTAAAGACTGAGGGTTATCAGGAGACGAGCCGTTGATTGACACTGGGCTGCTCCTTCTGGCCGGAGTCAACTCCCATCTACTTGAAGCCAGAGCTCCGAAATTATCCCTGGGCAACTTTGAGATGAACTGCAGTCCACACTTCTCCATGGCTTCATCCAGGAGACCTTTGAGCTGGGCTGGTTCAAGGTGGCTTGCTTTAAAGGCTAGGATAGCTTCTCGGTAGGCCTCGTCTCTGGCCAGGGGTTCGCAGAGCTTCTCATCAACCAAGAGTGAGTAGATCTCTGCCACAGACTGGGCCACCTTGGCATGGTCCTTCTGGAGTTGCTCCGGGGTTGTCCTGTTTGCTCCAACAGCACTCCAGAGGCTTTGGGAGAGGTGACGGGCCACCACGTCGTCGCTGAAGCTGTCGAGATGCACTCTGGCCTCACCTTCTCTCCCTAAGGACCACAGGATCATGACGTGCAGGAGATGGCAGCTCTTCCGGTCTTGGTGTGAGCAGCTCAGCTTGTGCCTGTATTGAACCAGCCTCTCTGCTGGGATCCCCTTTAGGATCTGGAGGATCCCTTCGAAGCCTCGATCTGACGGGGAACCCCCTGTCATCCTGGGCAAAGCCGGGTCCAAATTGAAGGGCATGTTATGGAGGGGCCAGCAGAGGAAGGGCACAGCTCCCCAAACTTTATCAAAGGTGGGATACCAGGAAGCCAAAATGGACGACGTCCTCTAGGGCAAATGTTTGAAATGCTGCGGAATAAGCGGGCGCCGTAATTTTGGCCAAACTTGAAGGCTGGGGGGGAAAAAAGAAGAGAGGGGAAAGAATGAAACTCATCTAGAACAATCTGGAGTGTCACGGTTCTGGCGATTCCCCAAAATAAATCATGAGCCTCGAGCCAAGCTTCAAAAGAATCCAAAAGATTTATTAGGAGCAACATGTCGGCATTAACCTAAACGAAGCCAACTCTGGCATACGTAATTTACAGTCACTTGTGACTCTGTTTCCCCCCCCCCCTCCCCCCTGGGTATATCAACAATCATGTTCTCCAATGAAGGATTTCTGTGGGCAGAAGATCCGGTAGCCTAGCTATAATCTTTGCAAGATAAGTGTGGAATGTACTTCTGGTTTTTAAACCGCCGTACTACTGCTTCAGATTCCACCCACCCACCCTGTTTATGGGAACTCAAAAACAGGCATAGGAATGTTTTATAAGTTGACATTGGGAAGCCTGGATAAATGAATGAATAAAAAATAAACAGATGAATCAATGCATATGTCAATTCAAAAAAAAACATTCCTATGCCTGTTTTAGTAGTTGCCATAAAAGGGGGAGTGTGAGGAAGGAAATCTGGAAGAGGAGTTGCAGTAGTTTGGAAGCGAAAGTACATTCCAACTCTTACCTTTAAAAGATTGTAACTAAACTACCAGAGCTTTTGCCCACAAATATATTTAATTGGAGAATGTGATTGATGACACCCAGCCTGTGAATGTGCTCAATTGGAGAATCTGATTGATGACGCACCCAATGGGGAGGAGGGAAACAGGGTCAGAGGGGACTCTAAATGACGTAGGCCAGAGTTGGCTTCATACAGGGCAGGGCCAGTATGTCGCCTGTAATGAATCCTTTGAAGTTGGTTGAAGTTTGGCTCGAGAATCATGATTTCATTAGGGCGATTGCTGGAATCCTGACAGCATATATATGTACATACATACGTATCTACATACCAACGTAAATAATTCTGCTTCATTGAAGATATTTTAAGCAAGGGGCAGATCTGATACAGGTATTCCTCGACTTGCAACGGTTTAATGACCAAAGTTATAACAGCGCTGAAAAAAGTGACAGGACCGTTCTTCACACATACGACCGTTGCAGCGTCCCCATGGCCACAGGATCAAAATTCGGGCCCTTGGCCACCGGTTCATACTTATGACCGTTGCTGTGTCCCAAGGTCACGTGGGACCTCATCAGCCAAGTCAAGGGGGGAGACAGATTCCCTTAACAACCGTGTTAATTAACTAGTGATTCATTCAACAGCTGTGGCAAAAAAGGTCGTAAAATGGGGCAAACCTCACTTGAAAAACTCTCACTTATCGATAGAAATGCTGGGCTCAGTTGTGATCATAAATTGAAGATTCCCTGCACCTTGTTGGCTAATTGAGTTGAAGGCCGAACATCTTAACATTGCCAAGGTTGTAAAACATCGGAATGTATGTTTCTTAACCGTGGCAAAGTTCCGATGTACAGCCTCCAAATCTGAGAATTCCCAACCATCCAGACCTTAAAATTGCTAAGATTGAGAAACATGGTTATCTTCTCTCTCTGACATATATTATCTCAATATATTAAATTTAATGTGTGACAAATTCCTTGTGTGTCTCATCACACTTGGCCAGTAAAGAATTCTGTTCTCTGCTATGTTCTGTTCTATCCTAATCCCATTCCTATCCTGCTCTATTTTTATTGCTCTTATTCTTGTTCTGTTCTAATCTGTTTCTGTTCTGTTCTACCCTAACCCCATTCCTGTTCTGTTCTATTTCTATTTTAGTTCTGTCCCATTCCTATTTTGTTCTGTTCTACTCTATTCTAGTTCTGTTCTACCTTAACCCCATTCCTATTCTGTTCCTTTTCGGTTCTATTTCTATTTTAGTTCTGTCCCATTCCTATTTTGTTCTGTTCTACTCTATTCTAGTTCTGTTCTATTCATTCCAATATTCTATTCTGCATTCTATTATTAAATTCTGTTCTATTATTAAATTCTATTCTATTCTACTCTACTCCTACTCTATCCTATCCCATTACCCTATTCTGACATGACATGATCTATATTAGAGCATATTACGGGTCCTGGCATAAAACTCCCAATAAAAATGGATTCACCTAATGACCTGCCATGTTCACTTAACAACGGATGCCTCTGCATGAAGACCAACCTATTTGCAGGCCGATGGGCCCCCCAAAACATAACATCATATGGAATCACGGGAAGATCTGTTTAATGACCGTAACTACTTACAAACCTAATTCCAGGCTCCATTCAGGTTCTATGTCAAGGCCTCCGTCCCGTCCCTGCCCCGATCCTGGGACCAGATTCAAACGTGACAGCAAAACTAGCACCGTCATAACTCTCCATCCTTTCCTAGCCAGCTTACCAGTGGTGGTATTCTACCAGTTCGGTCCAGTTCGGCCAAACCATTCGCTCCAAGGATCATTTGTGAGCAATCCAGTTCACTCTTAACGATCAACTGCTGGGTCCACCTACCAGCCCCGGCTCTACTCCTACATTTATCTCCTGCTTTTCACACCTCAGCGGCTTCGCGCGGCACGGCCAATTGCCCCATGTCATCTGTTTTACACAGGGATTGCAGCGGAAGGCGAGTTGCAAATGCGTGTGTGTCCAAAGCACGTGTTTGGTGTGTGTGCATGCACGAAACGCGCTCACACCGAACTGTTAGGAAACATTTTTGAAACCCACCACTGCAGCTCACCGGCTCCTTTGATGCCGGAAGAAAATTCTTCAGACACGCCGGGGGGCAAGATAGCAAGACGAGACAAGTTGGGTTCATCCTTTCATCGCTAAGCTTGAAAATTCCCAACCTGGTTTGGCTTGTTTTTAAGGGTTCCGGAAGAATAGAAGACATCGACAAGCCAGGACCTGCTCAAGATCTTGGGTGTTGCCTTCAACCACCTCCAAAAAGTTGCCACCGAGTCATAAATTGCCCTGCCCCAGAAGAAAATTTACTACAGGCACAACTGGATAGAAAGTGTAGGTGCCAGCCTATTGGGTTCAGGTGTGTTCCCTTGGGTGACAATACAGAGAATTTAGACATTTCCTGGTGGTCTCCTGCCCCCTTTTTTTTACAGGCAGTCCTCTATTTACAACCATAACCGAGCCCCAAATTTCCCTCGCAACCGAGGCGGTGAATAAGTGAGTTTTGCCCCGTTTAATCCGTGATTAAGCGAATCGTTGCAGTTTTTTTTAACTTAGCAACACGGTCGCTAAGTGAATCCGGCTTCCCCATTGAGTTTGCTTGTCAGAAGGTCACAAGGGGGGGGTCGTCATGCCTCCGTCGGGAGTCTGAATCTGAGGGGGGAAGATGAGTTGGAACAAGAGCCGACAGAGATTGAGAGGGCGAATCCAGGCCTCGTTGCAATCACAGGCGGGCTACAAAAATTTCAGCAAGGGGTTCTCTGCCCAGTTGCTGGGTGGGCGTGGCCATGGTGGGCGTGGCCTAGTCAGCCTCCTGCACCCGGTGTGGGGGGGTGTTTTTGCCCTCCTTGGGCTCCGGAGGCTTTCCTCAGGCCTCTGAGAGGGTGAAAACGGCCTCCCCCGGACTCAGGAGGCTGTCTGGAAGCTGGAAACGGGCCCATTTCCGGCCTTCCAGAACTTCCAGGAGGCCCGTTTTTCACCCTCCCTGAGTCTCTGTGCGCGCCCTGCCCTTCCCCCCCATCCAAAACGGGCCGTGTCGGGAGTCTGGGGAGGGGGTGGGGTGGGCGGGGCCAGCCAGGAGTGGGACTCATTTAACAACAGCCGTGCTTCCTTTAACAGACGGGTGAAGAAAAGTCCTACAGCGAGGCTAAACTCACTGAACCGATGTCTCGCTTAGCGACATCCATTCTGGGCTCCGTTGCGGTCGTAAGTCGAGGACTACCCGTAAAACCAATATCTGAGAAAGCTTCCCAAGAAGTAAACTAACTGCAGGAGGTTTGTCCAGGCAGCCTGAAGGACTGGACTGAAAGGAAGAAAAATTTCAAGCCAACAGGATAGACCCAGACTCCGGAGAGTTATTAGGACCGCAGAAAAAAAACAATGGCTACCCGCCTGCCTTCCATGGAGGACCTGCATACTGCACAAGTCAAAAAGAGGGCTGGGAAAATCCTTACAGACCCCTCACATCCCGGACATAAACTGTTTCAACTCCTTCCCTCAAAACGAGGCTATGGAGCCCTGCACACCAGAACAACTAGACACAAGGACAGTTTTTCCCCTTGAACGCCATCACTCTGCTAAACAAATAATTCCCTCAACACTGTCCAACTATTTACAAAGTCTGCACTACTATTACTATTAATCTTCTCATCGCTCCTTATCACCCATCCCCTCCCACTTGTGACTGTATGACTGTAACTTTGTCGCTTGTATCCTCACGGTTTATACTGACTGTTTCCTAATATGATTTGATTGCTTATTGTACCCTGTGACTATTATTAAGTGTAATAGTACCCTAATAGTACCCTATGACTATTATTAAGTGTTGTACCTGATGATTCTCGACTCTTGACGAATGTATCTTTTCTTTTATGTGCACTGAGAGCATTTGCACCAAGATAAATTCCTTGTGTGTCCAATCACACTTGGCCAATAAACTATACTATTATAAGTAAGTAAGTGTAAGTAAGTGTAAGTAAGTAAATAATAATAATAAATAAATAATCAAGCAAGCAAGCAAGCCACTCCCTCCCATGGGCAGCTCAGGGAAGGGTCTGCCAGCCACGAGACCCCTCCCCAGCCAAAGATCTTCCAGCCCCCTTTATAATTTTTTCCCCCTCCCGTTGGAAAACCTGGGATAAAGCGTCCCTCTTCCCAGGCAGCCCCTGGGTTGGAAATCTGTCCCCCCCTCCGGTGATTTTTGCAAGGGGGTGGGCGGGGTCTCTTGCTTAGGGGCTGCCCCGGGAGACTTACCTGGGGCCGGGGCCCCCCTGTAAGGACTGAGCCGGAGGATCTGGTGAGTAGGAGGCGGAAATCTTATCACCGCTCCTCCTCGTTTCTGTCTCCTTCCTGCCAGCTGGGTGGGGGGGGAAAAGGGAGCCCAAAGTAGGAAGTGAAGTCTTGCACAGAACAAGGGCTGGAGGTTTCTGTTTCCTTGAACGGCTTTCGAAAGTGAATTCTTCACACACACGCGAAGCACACATCCCTTTGGACAGATAAAAGACGCACGCGGAAACACACAACCCCTTTAAAAGGCAAATAGTAGAATCTCTCTCTCACGCGCGCACACACACTGGTAGAAACACACGCATACAGACTGGGAAAATAATCGAAACACACACAACCCCTTTAAAAGGCAAATAGAATATTTCTCTCTCACACACAAAACACACACCCTTTGGGCAAATAATAGACACGCACAAACACACAACCCCTTTAAAAGGCAAATAGTAGAATCTCTCTCGCGCGCACACACACACACTGGGCAAATCGTAGAAACACACGCATACAGACTCTTGGAAAATAATCGAAACACACACACACACACACAACCCCTTTATAAGGCAAATAGAATATTTTTCTCTCTCTCGCGCACACACACACACATACAAAACACACACCCTTTGGGCAAATAATAGACACACAAACACACAACCCCTTTATAAGGCAAATTAAAACTCTCACCCACACGAACTTTGGGCAAATAATAGAAACACACACACACTCAAACACACAGACCCTTTAGGAAATTAATACACACACAACCCCTTTATAAGGCAAATAGAAACTCTCTCTCTCTCTCTCTCTCTCTCTCACACACACACACACACACACACACACACTTTGGACAAATAGTAGAAACACACAAACTCATACACACACAAACATAGAGACCCTCTGGAAAAATAATAGAAACTCACACAAACCCACACCCTCTTTGGCCTGTTTGGTCCCTTCCAGCTCTATTCTGATTTTGATTCTGAAATAGCAGAAACTCACTTACACATACCCCTTTGGGCAAATAGTAGAAACTCACTTGAATTCTGTCAATTCCCAGCAGAAGAGAGGGAAGGAGCGAGGGAGCTGGCAGATTCGGCCGACTGAACTTTTAATTCAGGGGAAGGAAGTTTAACAATTTGGGTTGGACTTTGTGCTCAAAACAAGGGTAAATAAAAGGAAATGTTGACTTTGAGTTTGGATCTGTGGGTTGTGATGGAAAGGGCCAGTCCTTTGAGATGAACGTAAAAAGTGGAGGTTGTAACTTTGTTCTGGCTTTTACTACACTGAAAAAATATAGGAGAATACTGATTTTATTTCCCCTTTCCTTTACATCTCGGTCTCCCTTCTTTTATCCAACTTTCCTATTGCTTTTATTTTCATTTGTATTTTATATTCAGGCAGGAGAGAGAGAGAGAGAGAAGAAAAAAGCGAGATAAGAAAAGAGAAAGAAAGAAACAGAAAAAGTTCAGAAAGAACAAAAGAATGATCAGAAAGAAAGAAAGATATACAGAAACAAAGGAAGGAAGGATGCAAAGGAAAGGAAGAAAAAGAAAGAAAGAAAGCCATCAGTTTGCTAGGCTGCAGTTCTGTGGGAAAATGATGTTTTGCAAATAAGGGCCCAGCCTGACTTCTGTGGGCAACTTCAGCACCCGGCAGGCACCAAGATTTGGGGCTTCTGATAAGGAGGCTGAACTCAAAACATCTGCAATTGCTGAGGAGGGATTGGGCGGGGATGATGGGATGGGGTGGTTCAGCTCTCTGGGTTGTGGGGTTGCTTCCCGGGGGAAGTCGAGAGGGCGAGTACAGCCATGCCACCCAACAGAAAAGAATATCTGTAGCTCAGGGTTGAACTGTGGGGTCCTTGGTGCTTTTTTTTGAGCTTGGTGACTGTCTTGCAGATGATTTATGATCCAACTAGTGACATCCTCAGTGGTTAAAGGGGAGGGAGGTTGGAGGAGGAGGAGGAGGAGGAGGAGGAGGAGGAGGACTATGAGGTCCGTGATGCACTCTCTGGTTTTCTTGCAAACATTTCACGGGCCAACTAGGTAACGTCCTCAGTGCTAGTGGAAAGGAGGAGGAGGAGGAGGTTTTCTTGTGGGACATTTCATCACCTAACTAGGTAACATCTTCAATGCTAGAAAGGAGTGGAATTGGCTCTCATTTATATACTTCCGGCTTGCCCTGTCAGCGTTGTTGGGAGCGTTCTTGGTTGTTTTGAAGGTATTGTTTTGAGTTTGTTTGTCTGGTGTTAATCCTTGCTTATCTGAGTATTGATTGCAGACAAGAAGATCTTCTGGTCTTTCTGTTTCCTTTTTTAGCCATCCCACCATCCACCTACCCACCTCTCCCTCCCTCCACCCACCCACCCACTCACTCACTTACCTTTCTCTCCCTCCTTCCCTCCACCCACTCAAACCTCTCCCTCCACCCCTCCACCCATTCCTCCAACTATTCATTCATTCCTCCACCTTTCCACCCACCCACCCACTCATCCCTCCATCCATCAATAGACCCTTCCCCTAAGCGGGACTTTTATACCAATCCATGCTATCTGGAGAAAACTGCCACGTCCTCCCATCTCCTCAGTACTATATTAAACCGCCGGTTTTTATTCACCCTCCAAACCCCCCACAATCTCCCCTACCCCAAAAGACGATGGAAACGGGCACACACGTTTTTAAATTTTATTTCCCCAGAGCGTGGACACCAAAGAAGGACCCCCTGGAAGAGGCTGAAAGCTTAGCTTCATGGAAATTCAGCTGGGCCCCATTTTGAACTCCCCCCCTCCCACTCATCCCCAGTTAAATGAAGCCGCCGTTTCTTCTGCCCGCCTTCAAAAATCATCTTCAAGTCCACCTTTGCCATTAAGCCTTTGACCTCAACTGCCCAGCCCTACACCTATTTACAAACGCGTCTCTGCACTAATGAGGACTAGACACTTGGCTGTAGGAGGCCATTTTAATTCCTTTCCGAGGTGTCGATTCCTTCCTTGGAACCGGGTGCCATGCCTACTGCCTAATTAGATTATAATATGCTCCAAGAGAAATGGGGGAAAGAAAGTCTTAAATAAATAAAACAGCTAACCCGTCTCTTCTCCCCAATTCTAATTCCTGACCCCCTTTTTGGTTGCAAGTTCTGACCGGCGGTGGGATTCAGCCGGTTCAGACCGGTTCGCACGAACCGGGTGCTAATTTTACATCTGGTTCGTCGAGCTGGTAGTTTGAAGGGGTCCCCACATCTGTCATTTTGGATGCCAGGTAAATGCAGGGCCCATGTGGAGGCCCTCAGAGGGCAAAATCCAGGCCTCCCGGAAGTTCCAGGCGTCTGAAAATGGGCCTGTTACTGGGCTCCAAACGGCCTCTGGAGCTTGGGGGAGGCTGTTTTCACCCTCCCAGAGGCTCAAGGAAAGCCTCCGGAGCCCAGGGAGGCTTTCCTTGAGCCTCCAAAAATGTTCCCCCCTCACTGTGATGCAGGAGGCTGAGTAGGCCACGCCCACCCTGGCCACGCCCACCTAGCAACTGAGCAGAGAACCGATTGTGCTAAAATTTTTGAATCCCACCCTTGGAACTTCTGACTTAAAGCAGGTGTCTAAGATTGGCTCTTTTGGAAATTAACAAAATGGATCCCCACACTTTTGGGGGGGGTGCAAATAGCCTCCTCCGGTCCCCCCCCCCCCCCCCCCAGGGAAGATCTGGGTGCCTTTGGGGAGAAGGAAAAATGGATCCAAGCAGATCGATCTCTCGGTGAGCTTTTAGCTTTCCTGATTCTCTCTCTCTCTCTCTCGACTGGAGTTTGCCTCTTGGAAATGGTGTCTCCTTCATCTGCCTTTTTGGGGAGGAGGCCTCCAGCATCATGGGGTGGGGGTGGGGGCAATGGGGTTGGGGAACCCCGACCTTCTAGTAGGAAGAACTGCAAAACTTTTAGGTGAACTTGCTGGGATATGGGGCTCAGGGATGTCCGCAAGGTGTGGTCGAATGGTGGACCCAACGAAGCCATCAAAGCTTTGTTGTGGTCACCATTTTGGGACTTTCGACCATGCCTTGTGGGGATCCCTGTAGACTTCCTACTGGCACGGTGGTCTTCGTCTCTCCTTTCTCCTAGTTCTTCTCTTCGGGGGCCCCCTCGGAGCCTGCTAGCAGCTCCTTCAAGGCCCCTATTGCCTCTGTGGACTCTCTGGGGTCCACCTCGGTTGTGTCCTCCATCCTCCTCATCTTCTTGGTTGCCACCTTCTCCGACGGGGACGCCCTGACGCCTTTGCCCGTCTCCTTCAGCCGCCCTGTCCCGCTCTCCTCCCGGGAGGTCCCCGGCCCTCTTTCCTGGGGTCGGAAGGGCCCCACGATCCAGTTCAGAGGGGTGATCTGGATGAGGTGTTCCGCCAACATGTGGAGAACATCCCGGGCTTGGGAGATCATCTCCTGGCTCTGGGTGAGGAAGCCGGAGGACAGATCCTGGAAAGACTCGGCAGTAGAGAAGGAGCGGTGGAGGTGTTGGAAGTTACTCTGAGTTTGGTCCACCCTTTCGCGGAGGCTCCTGGGCAGCACTTCAACAGTGGACATCAACCAGGTGTAAGCAGGGCTGAGGTCTTGGATGAGGGATCTCAATATGGCCAAAGTCGCCGACTCAACCTGGAGAGGACAAATTGTGCATCACAACAAGACTGAGTCGGATGGGTGAATGCAGTTTTGGGATCGTATCTTGTAAATAAACCAGTGAGTGTGGTTTTTTTTCGAAGATGGGGGGGACTTGAACTCCCAGAATTCTCCAGCCAGCATGCTTTAAGAGGGGTGGATTTCAAATCCCAGAATTCTCCAGAACACACCCATGTTCCAGAGCCACCTTAGTATTTATGACAGTGTTTCTAAACTTCAGTAACTTTGAAATGGGTGGACTGCAACATGGCTGGCTGGGGAATTCTGGGAGTTGAGTTCCACCCCTCTTAAATCATGTTGGCTGGGGAGTTCTGGGAGTTGACATTCACCCATATTAAAACATGCTAGCTGAGGAATTCTGGGAGTTGAAGTCCATCTATTTTAAAGCACGCTGGCTGAGGCATTCTGGGAATTGAAGTCCACCCA